TAAAAAGGTATGAAAGGGGGGACGGAAAGAGAGGGAAGATGATGAAAGGCACTGGGATTTGCAGCTCCGTCGGAGAGAACAACCCTTTCTTGCTTCGCCAAGAATGCTTTGGTGCCGCTTCCGATCGGGTAAACATTTAGGCCGCTTTACGGCAATGTAGACGTAAAATCACCCACTTTTGCCATTATATATTTTCACTGCGTCACCCAGTCAGTTTCATCGAACAAGCGTCGTTGTGCGGCAACGCACGCACGTGTAAAATACAACGTTGCATTCGGCGCGATTTATAAAATGCATTCACTCGTTTCCTGGCCTTTTAAAAGCACGCACGTCGGGAATCGTGACGCTATCGGCCGGCTTTAAATATTCAATTTTGAGGGCGAAGCTATACGTAATTCCGCAACGAGAGAAAGAGAGAGCGGGACTTCAGTCACACTCCGCGGAGCGGGTAATCAAATCAAATGGTGTCTCGCAATCAGATCTCTCCTGCGAGATCTCCGCCTCCCTCCCTCCCCCCCCCCCCCGAGTATATAAGATCGAATGGAAAGGCGGAAAGTAAGAAAATATAAATCAGCGGGGTGGATTTAATAATTCACCGAGGCGAACATGGCGTCCCTTCCCCGAAAGCACAATCGAACCATTTAACCGTGAAACATTGTACATTTTGCGCCACCCCCGCCCTCCCTGGCGAAAAGGGGTGCGCCGGTATTCGCCATCCCCATGGATACTCGACCATCCGATTATCCCGTTACAACGAAAAAACTTTCCCTTAAGCGTCCCGAGCGCTGCACGGTACAGGAGATTTAATAATTCGGGAGCGAATCAGCGCGACGCGATGTCTTGTTGAAGGAGAAAGAAAAGTATTCCTTTTTTTTTCAGCGAAATAAATCTCGCGAAATTGCGATGTCGCTGGGTTAAGAACTAACGATGTGGATTTTGTTGTAATTTTTCCCCTGACGAACGTGATTCCTCCGAGTTTGCTTTAGTCAAACGGATGATATCGCGGCGCCCCGTACGTCTCCTACGACGAATGAAGATAGGGCCGATCATCGATACATCGTAATGCCCTTTTCACCGCGGCCGCCTGTTATGGAATTCCTAATGACGATGGGGCGACGTTAGAAGCGGCTGTAATAACAGCCGCCGGCTGCTGGAGCTCGATAGATAACGCGGGAAAATATTCAGCGATAAAACACGCGCGTCACTCACGTAGCGGGCTGATAAAAAGAAATTAACAGTCCCTTTCGTATTGCACTCTCTCCCGCGACTATGTAACATTGCGTGTCCAGTTAATAGGACGGTTCTGTGCAAGTTGGATAGATATTTTGTGCTAATCGCGTCAGCGGAGATGATGGGAAAAAAGCTTTATTGGTTCTAAACAAGAAAAAAGAAGAGCGCACATTTTATCCGCGGAATCGATCGCGAGCGATCGCCGAGGAGTGGCTGCTCCGATAACATTTACATAATCGTATTTCGGATCCTTTTGCAAGGTCATTTAATTATCCCCGCCGATGACTCGCCTCCGGGCGAGTTATGCCGGGTGAGCGCAAGAAGTGGAACGAAAAAATCAATTCCAGACACGGCTGCAATTTACGAGGCATGTTTGTATACTCGCGTAGAAAATCGACGATCGATCTTTTGTACACCGGCAAAACGTGGCACGGCAATGATGTCACCCGAGCTCGCATAAAATTATACGTCGGCAGTTTAAGATGCTAATATTGTATACCCATCAGAGAGCACCATTTTGGACCGTGTAGCTCGTGTATAAATTTTGAACGCGACTTATTATTAAAATATGTTCTTGGATTTATAAAACGAAGTCGTCTTATGTCCACTTCTGCACGGAAAAAAATGTTGCTGCCGTAGTTAAAAACTGTGATAACTAAATTTTAATTGTAAAATGTGAACAGCTAAAGCCAACGGCACACGATACTATTTTTCCTACTGGATTGCTTGCGAGAGCCAATCAGGATGCAGAGTTTTCGATCAGGTGACTTAAGCCAACGGCACACGATACTATTTTTCCTACTGGATTGCTTACGAGAGCCAATCAGGGTTTAGCCTCAAGTCACCTGATCTAAAACTCCGCATCCTGATTGGCTCTCATAAGTAATCCAGTAGGAAAAATAGTACCGTGTGCCGTTAGTCTTAAAGCCGAATCCTGATTGGCTCTCGTAGGCAATTCAGTAGGAAAAATCGTATCGCGTGCCGTTGGCTTTAGATCAGGTAACTGAAAGCCAATTTTCCATTGGCTTTAGTTGCGATAGCTAATATTTTGCTACTGCGTCTATTGTATTAGGTGCGACAGCAAACCTTTTGCTGTGGTTTAGAAATGCATAGCTAATGCAGCAAAATATTTTTAGCAAATCATGATTAGCTACGGTAGCAACAATTTTTTTCAGTGCATCAGCACAGATTAACTTTAATCTTATACCTTTCATCTTTTTCTAATTCTTAGAACTAGAAAGAGATGAAAAGAAGGCTAAACCAAGTTTAAAGTTAATCTGCATTGGTAGAAACGGGCATTAGCGGCTCGATATAATCGAAACAAGGCCATTGATAGACGGTTCGGACGGAGAAATAGGTTCCTGAATTCTTAACGCTAGTTCGATAATTCAAAATAGACCAAAGGTTCGCACAGCTGTGCACTTAAATCGCACCGTCCATATAATTGCAATTCGTACGACTAATTTTAACGCGTCGCAAAAACTCACTCCTCGACTGATCAGCGTCGGCACCGCGGAAATCCAGCTTCCGTTCTGCCGTTCGTCATCGCTCTCGCGAAATTTTGAATATTGCATGACAAGGAGAGGAGACGCTCGCTTTTTAGAATACCAAACGAACGGGGGCGTACGGTGTTATCTCTCTTTCTCTTTGCCGGAGAGCGGATAAGCCGGTTTCCCTAGATGCGGGGGATCGATCTGCATGCAGATGCACCCCTCGCGAGCGACACAAAGGTGGCGGACCAAAGAGGAGAGTGGTCACCGGTTAACATTCGAGCCACTCTGAATATTTCATACGCGGCCGTGACCGTGCGTAGATTGCACGCACGCCAAGTGCAAACGCAACAAAGGCGAGGCGATGGCAGTTCTTCTCTCTCTCTTTTTTTTTTTACGCGGAGACGCACGGTGACGTCTTTGTGTGCGTGCGCCTCCGTATAAATGCCGATGGAGACCTTTTGTCTCGCACGACCGGGGCTTTGACCAGCGCTTCAACGCTCGTCGAATGTTGGCAGATTGGAAACTTTCGCAATATCGACTGCAGCTGCTTCCTTCTTCTTGGGATGCAGCGCGCCGTTCCGACCGTATCCTTCTCCAGACGGACGATTTGAATCGCTTGCCGCTAATTTGTTGTAAAACGCTGACGAGATCCTATTACGTTTCATTATTGCATTTAATGCACAACCTGATAGCCCAGAGAACCCAAGAATAATTCCTGATTCTTTCTGAATTCCCGGATTATGACGTGAACTCTTTCACCATCTCGCGTCTGTTCTAAAAGAATTTTCGAGTACAAAACGAATTCTTTTTATTGGCAACAACTTTAATTTATACTTTCACGGGAAGTCAAGAGGTGTCTTCTATGAAATCCTTTTTCAACTGCCGGAAAGGAATTCTTTTGAGTTTATTTCGCACGGATTACGCTAAATCATCTTACTTGATCTATTTATTTAATTACATAAGACATGTTAATCTCTGTGTATAAAAGAAGTCATTTTCAAAAATATTTCCAATTAAAAAATCTTCTCAACATTTAATTGCTCACGAGCAATAATAAAAGAATTTAAAATTAATATTTTTTCTAGTTTAGCGTGAAAGGTTAAAGGTATATAAGCGATAAACGCTATCTCTGACTATGAAGATTGACTTTCCTAAGACATCGATCGACATAGCAAAGAAACCTTAACTGGCAAGCTGAGTGAAAAGCGGTACTCCTCCATCGAGAGTTGTGAATCTATTTCACTTACAGTCTGTCAAGTGTGTTCTGTCTTCAGCTTCACAGCTGAGAGGAAGAGAAAGGGAATTAAAAAACTTAAACGATGTGTTCTGTCATACTCTGCAACTTAAAATGTCGCTTTTCTTAATAGAATTATCGAAGACAGTTCTCCAAGATAAGTACGCTTCATGACTCGAAGTAGAGCAAAGTCCTCTATTATGAGATAGCAGGTTTTCAACGTCCGCATTCAATCGCAAATCTTTTTTCGCAACGATTACACGATCTAACAATCAATTTTCCACTAAGCAGATTTCACTCCAAGGGCAATAAATTCATGGTGGAACCAACAGATGATGCCAATTAATTTAGCAGAAACTCCGCTATCCCGTATTAGGAGCCCTATCTCATAATAGGGTACTTTCCTTTAGATTCTTCCTCTATTTTGCATCCAAAAAGACCAATGCCAAATCTAGACAGAAGTTGAAACCTTTTGTCGAATTCACCGTAATAAAGATTAACGATTTATTGCAATGTTGTCAGACAAAAATTGATAACAAAGCAAACACAACTTCTAAAAAATGAATCGAAAATTATTAAAATAACATTTTATTTCAAGACAATGATTTCAAGACGAAAATAGTCCATGCGTTTTTGAAACGGACAGTACCTTTCCAGCGGAATGTCACGACGAGACGCAGAGAACGCCCTGTCCATATCAATGACATGATTCCTACGAGGTAGTTATCTGCGGAAAGGAATATCATGATCGAGGCCGATCACGTACTCATCTTCCCGTATTGCCTTTCCCCGAAAACGTTATCCTTCCATCCCGTTACTCTCTAGTTTCAATTAAAGGAATTTGATGAATTCGTAAAACTGATCGTCCGAAAGAAAACTCGAAAAAATATAGTTCCTTTAATTAGATATGTTTTCCAATAAATATTTTTTTATTGAATAAAATCGAGTTGTGAAAGATTTGTGCAAAAAAAAAATACTTCCATATCTCGGTTTATGGGCTTAATTCTAAAAAAAAGTTGTTCAGGACTTTAATAAACAATGAATTAATATGTTCATTCCTTTATTACAAACGGTCGCATATGCGAGTAACAATTATAATTAATCCTATTTTGTGAGTGAAAACGGTAATAATTGTAACAATATATTGCGGCGCTTGTTTCATTTCGATTGCTGCAACAATTAATTCAATTAAGTGCTCGTATAATTGAGCGCCAAATTATTTTGGTTTAAATACCTGAAAACAAGCACCACACATATCGCTCTATAATTTTTAATATATTAGTATATTACACGAAAATATATCGCATTATAACATTAATTTTGTCAGTCATTAGATCACGTATTGCAACATCCGTGTACGTATAATCAAGCTGAATCCATCAGCTTGTACAATGTATCCTTGAAACAATTAGGCACCGGGTTATCGAGAAAGCGATCTCTCTCGAGGATTTGTTAAAATTACATACCTGCGTAAATTCAACTCGGCTATGTTAAATTTATATGTTAAAAATCTAACTGTACAAAATATATTGCGCATCGCAGAAGGCACAGACAAGTTTCTCTCTTCCGTATATTGCATAAAAGAAAAATCGAGATTTTTCCGTCATATAAAAACCCGTATCTACAAAAATTTTGAATCAAAAGCCTTAATTTAATTAAGTTCCTGAAGCACGAATCAAAGTAAAACTCTTACAAATTACAAAAAGCATTCTATTTACATGATGAACATCGACAGAAAAATATTCAATTGATACTTTGGAAGATGTGTTTCGCGCATAATAAAATTTTACTCTTCGAGAACCTAAGATTTCAGTAGCGAATACTTCACATTATCTCATGTGAATAATATATATGACTATGTATTTACTCTATATAATAAATATCTTTTCTTGTACTAGAACGAGTTTTGTAAGGCACTATAAATAATTGCGTCCCCCTTCGTCAAACTATTAGGAAGATTTGTTAGATGGAACGACGCTATGTAACTATCTGTTATACTCGCAGTAATAAACGGCTGTTACATAAAGTTATTACTTGTTGAAAATACAGATCGCTTCTAATCAAGATTTTTTAGTGGTAATAGATTTGCTTATTCACAACAATTATTCCTATCTCTATATCTTGTAAAAACTGATTTATAATATATAAATTATATATAAATTGTATCAGTTTTATTATCAATTATTGGAAGCATCTATTATTTCTGTTATAATAGGAGACATTATTACTTCAGAATAAAATATAATATCAAATGTATTACTGATGATTCATATTTATAATCTCTTTGTCATTATTTATTACCGTTTTGTCTTCTTAGATTTTGCTGTTCAACGTAAAGACAATTCTTCTGCATTTGATCTGACTTTTAAATGACAAAATTAAAAAACAAAATTCCCTCTACAATAAGAAATCGTAATGTACGAAATACATTCCACGTGTAGAAATACTGGTTTCTCACGTCAACTTTGGCAATGTAATTAGAATCTGACAAGAACGCTAAAGCATGTAATATGTTTTGTTAACATAAATCATCATACACAGATTTGTTATACAATTGCTCTGTAAAGAGTAATAGCAATCTATCATTAGGAACTACGAAATAAACCAGTAATATCATTATAACATTGTGTCACGGAGAAAATTCTCTCTTTATGGGAATTTGATTTATATCTAATATAGTACAGCGTGTACGGCTGAGATTTAAATCATTGAATTTTTATCTTATGGCAGCCTAATCAAAACCGATATTTTACCCTGTTGTAAACTCTAGTTACTAGTGATACTTTATCACTAAAAATGATACGAAAATATGTAATTATATATTAGTTTTTAAATTTTAATTCCCATTATTCTCTCGATGTTTCAATATGGCTTGCCATATCCTGAGTTCAATTCCTCCCCTGGAATTATGTATAATATATTTATACTCGGCACATATGATGATTACTGAATAATAGAAGACATAAATTTTTACCTTAAATTTAGTCTGCGAAGATCGTCCCGTGTAACATGATGCAAAATATCTTCTAGTGTGTACTCCTCATAAAGAAACTAACAATGTTAAAGAATATTCATTCATAAAAATCATATGTAAAATAAATAACCTATGATAATTCTTATTTTTATTCTTCTTGCTTATTTCAGACTTGAGCGGAACACTCACCCTCTCGATTGATGTCTCATCTATTTGAAGATTCTGTAACCAATCGGCAAGGGCCATATCCGGATGTGAAGCAGTACTGTGCGTATCGGTAGTCATTAAAGATTGTTGAGATATATCTCCAAAAATGCAAGAATTGTAGCTGTGGATATTTATTTGCTTTCACATTAATCACGCATTTGTCACGCATTTTAATACACGCAGCAATAAAATAAACCAATTTTACAGCAATAAATAAAATGATAATTTTCCGTACCCCGATTCCTGTTTTATTGATCTCCTATTAATATTTTCACACAGATGTGTCAACGTATTAACTTGAATTCTCTGCTCTTCAAGAGCTTGTTGCAATAACGTTTGATAGGATTTCTGGCTGTCTATCAATTCCTGAAGTAGTCTCATATTTTCCATCTTCAGTGCTCCCATTTGATCTCTATATTCCTTCCAGTACTTATTATCAATAGAGTCAGCAGTTTTTTGGGACTTTACAGAGTTTACCGTAGATACCCCAGATGTTGATCCTTCCTCGGGACCTTGACCGCCAGGTTGCACTCGTTCTTGTCCAAGTAAGTTAGCGCCCAATTCTAGAAACACAATTTATAACACAAAACACATTCCATATAACACTAATGCTGTATAATATTCTTTGACACATCTAATCTTTCGATTTTCAATAAAATCTGTCTAAACCAGATGTGTATGAACTCAAGTAGGATGCGGTAATCCTCTTACTGAACGCAACCTCCCTAAGAGATCCCATATTATTGGTGATGACTTTCCCTCGAGATATTTTTAGAATTGACATGATAACATACTCAATCTCTTCACGTGTATTACACTTGAGATGTATGCGCTACACATCTGGTTCATATACCAAGTAACAAATGTGAGAGGCTAGCCAGAAGCGGGACACTTTTTTTTTACTTATAGGAGTGTATGTTCTCATTGCGTATGTTCTCACATCTCTCGAATATGCAACGGTGTATATTAATTCAGTTTTTATTTCGTCGAGAAAAAATAGTACCTACCAGGAGATAAGACAGTGATAGCGGCCTGAACAGCATTTCTTACTAAATTGTCTAAAGCAAACATCCAATGTGGCTTTATACTGTGCATCCTAAGGACCTCGTTTACTGCCGTTTGAAATAAGTAAATAGCCAAATGTAGATGATTGATAGCGGTCGAATCGAAATCCAATTCCTCTTTCAGTGTTCGAATAGCAGTTACTATTACTTCCTGATTTTGCTCTGCGATATAGTCCCTCAGGCCGCGCATAAGTAATACTAAATGACTCTAGAAATTGTAATAAATAATTAAGTACATATCAATATGTACTTGGTATGTAACACAGTTATTTGCAGCGCAATATAATTCAACATGTTTCAGCACGTAAATACCATTTGCAACACCATTTGTCCCTCCGCTTGATGTATACCTCTCATCCAAACCTCGCAAATTTTTGCCTCATCTTGGTTGAGAACCCTCGTTAATGTCATACGTCTTTGGCTATCTTTCTTTAACAGATAAAAGCCCTCTTGCTCCTCTCCAGATTTCTGTCCCGGTTGTCCTGTTTTACCCCAATTATTCATAAATATAAATGAATGATATTATATACTAAATTTTGGGCATTTCGCAATTTAATTTATCCATCTATCCACGTGACAGCGATATTATTTATGTTATAATCTTAATAAATTCCTTCTGATATGTTCGCACAAATTTCGGATATTAATCTCAGAAAATGTCCAGAAATGTTGCATATATTTACCACCTAATTCAACTTCTGGCGATAACAAGCCACCAGACGAACTTCTTCTAGTTATTGAGGTACCAGCTGTATCAGTTTCGCTAGTTTCTATCGACGGAGTATTCCCTATTGTACTAGAAAGATAATAAATAACGAGATATTGATTTTGTGTCTTTTATATTACACTTTTAAACTATTTATCAATGTGATGAAAATTTTATTAATACCAGAATATTAGTCAATTTTTTATAAAATTATAAAAGTGATAACTTTGTGTCTCAAATAATTTATATATTATATAATATTGGGGTATTACTTTTTTATTTTATAATTTATACAATTAAAAATTTAATTATTCTCGTGTTATGTGATACACGGGAACATGATATGGAGACCTATTATGACAAAGAATACATACAAAGATATAATCTCTATATATTTAATATTTCAAAATAATTCGAATGGTCTATCCATTTTTAGAATATAAATTATTATTTAAAGATAATGTAAAAAGTTATCAGTTGTTACATAAGTCAAATGTTAAAGGATTACTTTATTAAAATTATGTTCTAATGTATTTACATAAACTGCATACTCGTTATATGTATATGTAATAACCATCATTTAGCAAAGCAATTATATGTTAGTATGTGTTTATGTCAATACTTGAGAGAATAAATCTAGAGAACCCAAATTAAAAATGTCAAGTAATAAAATATAATTATATTTTATTTCAAATAACATTTTAAGATACTCAATAATAACGTTATATCTATTTAATGTACCATTGCTTAAACAAAACATAAAGGAAATCCGGCATGACTTACATATACAAAGCTACATTCAATAGCAAAAAGTATGGGTGACAGCAATTATGGATATTTTTTTACACAAGACGCAAGCCGTTTGCAGACAGCAATTAAGCATTTTGAACATTTGCTATTGATGATAAACGATTATATAAAAAATATCTATATAATTTAGGTGGTCACAAATAATAAAAAACCAATAAAACAAACGGTATCTTTAGTTATGCTTTGCCTTCGTATAAACAATTTACCAAGTTAGAACCATACCTGTTAAAAGAGAGGGTTGCAGTAGGCATGCTGATGGGGGACAATAGGTGAGCCGGACTGCGTCCCCTCAATGGACTTGACTTCGTTAACCCTCCACTAAATTTCACATTTTATAATTACAATTCGCAACGTGCATTCTTACATAAAAGAATATTATATTCTTGCGTCATAGTCTTTATGGAATTTGGAGAATGAAGAAAAAGAATGTTGCAATTTGGCATAAAGCATTTTTAATGTATTAATTAAAGGATACGATATGGGCATTTAAAACTTTAAAATAGTGAAAGTAAAAAAGAAACAATTCACGCTACAATATGCAATTTAAATTTGTTATTCCTCAATAATACAGTAAACGATTTAAAGGACTAATAAGAGGATAGAATGTTCATTAATGCCGAAACTCCGTTAAATTGAAGGCAAGGAAGGCCATTTTTTTACCATTTTTCAGTGTTCGTAATGAACAAAAGCTTTAATATAATATATTGTACAATATAAAATTATTATTATTAGACAGACTAAGGCCCGGTTTCACCAAACGTCGCTTGACTTTAGTTTAATTCATATTTGTCTCTTTCTAAAGTAACAGCTGGAAAGAGACAAAGAACGAATCAGGCTAAGCTTAAAGTCAAACAACGTCGGTGAAACCGGACCTAAGACCGAAACAAAGCGAGTTTATCCCACGCAACCCAAAACAAATGCAATAATATATTATACATATAATGCGCACGATGCGGCGTACATCGAGCTCTTTTAAATCGAGGTTTACTGTACTGTGAAAGCAATCAAGTTCTGCAAATGGCATTTCCTAATATGTCAATGTTGGTCTGACAATTAACTAATTACCAAGCAACATAAAAAATGAGATTGGCACTAAAACCGCTTGATACAAATGAAATAAACCAAATGAAGGTACAATGTACTAAAACAAAGGCGAGAGTGCCACGAGCTACAAAAATGCTACATTAAAAAACGGCACATTATGACAAAGGTAAAAATTGTACAATACCTATCATCCGATTGAGACATCAGCATAGGTGTGGCAGCGACGATATGATTGTTGTTTGTTTTATCGCATTTCCCCAAACGTTCCAATCTATCCGCCGGAACCGATATACTTCTACTGAAGTCTGGCGGTGCGACTAATCTGCTGCTCTTCTTTTTCCTATTATATTTAAATATTTTACTATACGACTGTATAAACTTGTAAAACTCTACTGCGCAATGCTTGAACTTTACATACTCGTTAAGAAATGGATCCTCCAACAGCTCCGCCGCGGTTGCTCTTATATCAGGATTCGGCTCAAAACAGCGCAATATAAAACTTTTTGCTCTCTCAGATAACTCTGACGGTATCTCAGGATGTATTTTGTAATATCCCACCTATAAAAAAAGCGTATACATATCAGACTTTCGATAAGCTTAGCAGTTCAACGTTTAAAATGTAGCATACTTAATATTTACTTTAAACACAGCTGCTTGTGGAGAACCTAGTTCAATGAACGGTGGCTTTCCAGTGGCCATCTCAACTATTGTGCAACCTAAAGACCAAATATCCGCCTAAAGAGAAATATGAATAATTGTTATTACGATGACACAAGGAAATGTATCTTTATCGTGTATGACCGAATATCTTCAAAACAAAGCGCTTAATCAAACACAAACTCACAGGTGCACCATAACCACGTTGACCCTTGTCAATAACTTCTGGCGCCATGTACTGTAATGTTCCGGTAAATGTTTCTGTACTCGGGCATAAACCAGCCAATCGTTTGGACATACCGAAATCAGATATTTTGACAACTCCACTGTATGTATTTACTAATACGTTATCACCTAAATCATATATTTAAACTTTAGACATAGAAAAATAATTGTGAAGATGGAAGACATGTACTTCAACAAGTGAGCGTAAAATTCATGCATTTTACGAATTATGTACCTTTTATATCTCTATGAACTATTTTTTGGTCATGGAGATATTTAAGGCCTTCCAACATTTGTTTAGTATAATATGAGATGGTCGATTCGTTCTCTTTCAAAGGACCCCATTTCGATCTTAGCAAAGCTGATAAACTTCCTGAAATTATGAAAAATTATGAATATTTATAACCGAGATTTTTTTATGCCAAAATATTTCTTTCTTTCCTACCTCCAGGAACTTGCTCCATAAAGATTTTGAAATATCCATCCTCGCTTACCGAGCCCAAATATTGAACAATATTTCTGTGCCTCAATTGGCTATGCAATTTGATCTCTTCGTGAAGAGGCTGTACATCGCCCAAGTTTCGTTCACGAATTTCTTTCACCGCAATCCTGACTTGTGTATTTAAATCACGCGCTGCGTACACCACGCCGTATGTACCTTTGCCGAGAATTATGCGCTTATTTTGATCATCCAATTCATATTCGAACTAAAAAAAATTCCATTTTAAACAATTAAAAGTTCTGTATAAAATACATATACATATATACTGACAAAACTAATATTAAAAATTGATTAATACCTTCATGCGATCATCAGTCATGTAAGCATCTAAATCTGTAACCATGCCTTCTTGATCCCTAGTCATCTCCAAGATCAAGTCGTAAAATGTTTGCCTACATTGTACTGATGGCAGGTACATTTGAAAATCATCCGAGTTTTGATGAACATACAAAAATAAACATCTTTCGTCCCTTTTATACAGGCTTACGCTGCGTATCATGTTCGCAGTGAACAACCAATCGTGAACTTGTTTGCAATTATTTTTCATATTATCCAGACACAAATTCCATATTTGTATGGACTTCTCTTCCGCGCCAAGATTCACGTTTACGTAACTCGGCATTAAAATCTTTGTTGGTTCCAACACTAAAATCTAATAAAAATATTGTAATGTGCCAAGCGTCTTTTTACTGGAAAGATTATTAAAGTGGGAAGTTGATTCTTCAGAGTGAATTCATAAACCTGCACTAAGAGCAGTTTTATATTATTCTTACTTTGACCCAAAATGTACAGAAGTAAGCTGGATTGGTAATGCATAACTATAAGCCATAATCTCCCGAATTGGAAACTGGATCCTCAGTAGAACGATTCCATTTATCAACTTACTGGAAACCGTATACTATCGCCAACCTCCGGCTTTGTAGCTTCGACAAAGTAGTCCATCCAGAAACTAAATATCTGTTCCTCCGGTGCAACTTCAGCTTCCTCGTTCTTTTTACGAAACCTATCTATCAGTGATATGTTGCCGATTGTCGATTTCAGATACCTAAAAGTTAAAACAATTAAGATAAGTTCTAAATACATATACGCTTTGTCCTGCATTCTGAACATGTTTTTAACCGAATAAAGATCTAACTTTCGTTTCTCGTATACTCACCAATTCGGTGGCTTTAATTTGAACATACATTCAGCTGCTTGTATAGCTTTCGAATAATCCTCCGCTAATACACTAATCTCAAAAAATGTCGCTACATCCCAATAATCTTTTAAGCTCGGTAAACTGCCTTTCTTGCCAATTAAGTTATTCAATACCATTCCTATGTGCTGCAACTCCTCACTTTTAGAGAATTCATTTCCAGCTATGACGAGTAAAGTAGCAAGATTTATACCGGCATATTCGTTAGGCTGAACCTATAAATAGAACAATGATAATACATATACGCGTCAACAGAAATGCTTCCAATAACAGAGAAACGATTTACACGCAGATACTATACCTCAAAACCTTTTCTGTACCAGTGGATCGCATTCTTTAAGCTCTCCTGATCTGTGTGTCTGCTCTCGACAAATATGTCTTTATATATTCTTCCGCATAAACACAACATGTCAGGAACATGATTTTCCTTTTTTTCCAGCGCTTTCTCAATAACCTTTAATGCTCTTTCTCGATCGCCCTCTTTGTTTCGTCGATTTAAAGCAAACGCGTATAAATATCTTATAGCTGGAGTATTTATGTAATTCTTGTGAGTTGGTATAGTTTTCAAATCGTCAACCAATTGTACCATTGCATCGTAATCCTAATAATTTTAGAACGAGTGTAATTGTTTCTGAATATATTTTGATTGGAAAACTTTTCTTTTTATCAGTTTATCATTACTTTACCTGTATTTCCCGGAATGAAATGAGAACATTTAAAACAACCTCTCCTGACAGAACATTTGGATCGTCTAAGCGTTTGCGCATGTTATTCAGAGCTCTGGAGAGTTCTTCTCCAGAGTAAGTCTCGCGCGCCTTGCGTAGATCTGCCAGAAATTTCTCCTTCATATGTGCTCTGAAAGTTTTTACATTACATATTAAAAACGTCTGTTTTCCGCACTTTTTGGTGGAGTAACAATTAAAAATATCTAACATGATTTCTGCTCAGATTTTCTCATTTGCTTACTTGGATTGTATTTCGACATCCTGAAACAATTTCTTGAGTTTCAGAGTGAGATGCTGTTTGGGATCTATTGTCTCTTCGCTTGTGATCCTGCTGGTCGCTGGGTTCGTGGCTACACACGAACCACACGATTCCACAACGCGATACGAAACAAATGTGTAACTGCCACAGGATAACTGTATAAAAAAAAAGTTATTTCTGTATCGATTAGTTATATAAAAATATTTCATACCGCTGTAATTAAAAAGAATTGTTTCTGTGCAATCCGAAAAATAATAGCTGGTTCCAAGTCACATAAAAAATTCGTCACGACATATTTTATTACGTTATCGCGCGCGCGATTGACGTTTTAACTTTCACAATCCACCTCGTGATTATTTGTCACATATTTTTACATTAACTTTAGCGCATGCACATCAACTTCTTCCTCGAGTTCTTTATAAATTTGTTATAAATTCTTTATAAATTGTACGATGTAATAGTTTCAAATAGAATTAACAATCCGGACGCAATGTAGAGTCGCAATGCACAAGAAGTCAGCAACAGATCGTCCACGGTGTTACAACGTATGGCGCGCGATCAACTAGCACCAACCTGCTGTATTGGGTAACTGCTATATTGAGAGCATGAGCTCACGTTTTTCTCTACTCCATATTAAGCGGAATTACATATTTGGTGCTTGCCCAACCGGCAGAGACATCGTTTCATCTGATGCCACCGAATATGTTTAGTTTACGGCAGTCTGACGTCCAGCACCGTTCCGCGCGCACGTTCTAACTTGTTGCCGACCGCAGTAAGGATACGAAAATCTTTTGCAAGTTCTCGAAAGGAGGCAAAAACCTCGCAGAAATATTAATCAACAAGCATAGACCAGTTATGTTAATAGCAAAGTGATAAAAAATTCCGGTAGCTGTTCAAGTGACTAAATCAACAAGATTGATCCACGCGTGAGAGAAACGCATAATAATAAGCGAATCGCATCGTAAACAAGCTAATACTTTTTCTACTACTTTCACTCTCTTCAATCTTCTTGCATAAATTAGATGCAACACAATTTTGAGAAACAGATACTCGAAACATAACTTTTTGCACGTTATAAGCAGTCCTTTCGTGCGAGGAAACTATTAGATGGACGTGTTCTCAATATCAAGAATGCAGGAATACTGAAGTACTATTTGCTATGCTGCGATAGTGCGCAGTGTGGGTCACTTGCGCCTCGAGCAATCTCTCTATTTATGAGAGCGTTAATTGAGATCATTGCTATAAAGTGCATCCTGAGTCTAACAAACGGCCAAGGTCACCTGCGCTTACTGCGGCTGATGGCAGAGAACAATCCGTAAACGCTTACAAGACGTATAGAGGAGACTCTCATGACTCAAGTTTTTCTCTGCCTCGCCTTGAGTCTACGGCTTAAGACAGTCATAAGCGTTTACGAATCGTTCGTCCCAGTCTACAATAGATGATTTAAGCCCTAAGCTTTAAGAAATTGGCCAATCACGGTCAAGTATGAGTAGAATACGCTTAAGGTTTAAATTTCTATTGTAGACTGGGGCTTCTCTGCCATCAGCCTATCTCACGTTTAGCGTTTCGCGATCAACGTACGAGACTGTTTGCATTTACAATTCTGAAAGCGACGAGGAGCAACAAGCGGCGTATACCTCGTGCGTACGTACCTTAAGCCTAATTGTAGCTTCCGTGTCTGTGTCGTTGTACAGCAAAATGTTTTCCTTCATACCGAAACTCTCCCTGACACCGAGATGATAGAACAGCGCAGATTGCTGCAACTGTATGCTCAAGTCCACAACCGCCACATCAGCGTTGTAGAACGTGTCCAGCACATTGGTCTCGCCAAAATCGAGCTTCTCGAACTGCGACAGACGTGCGGATAGTTAGGAAAGGATCGAAACGCGCTTTACAATCTTCCCGCAACTCCTGCGTATCCTCGCTTGTTTGCGGCTTCGAGAGTATAGGAAATATTAAGATTATCTAGCACTCGACTTTTGATACACGGCTTGTTTTGAAACGGCGATAAGATTGAGATGTCGCAACAGTTCGCTTTAATACTCTCATCCCACTTTTATTCGGAGTCTGCCGCTGTGCGAATAATCGAAATCGCGCAGAGACCGTACCTGAATATGATGTATGTCGGCGTTGACCAGATTGCAGGCCTGCCTGACCTCGTCCAGCGCCTTCTTGCGCTGAGCGAGGTGCTCCGATTGTTGCAGATCCAGGACGCAGGCCACGTCCATCCTGGGCCGCCCCGGCACCGTCGTGTGTCCCGATATATCGCTCTGCGTTCCCACGCTGTCCGTGCTGGAGATGCCTTCCATGACGCCCGATTGCGAGGCAGCTGCGGACGCAAGATCACCCTCGTACAATCGGAAAGTATTTGCGCAGCTGCATTCAAACGACATCACGTGGCCTAGGTGCGACAACGGCGGTGAGAGAAGCGGTACTTACCAGCCGTATCGAGCACGTCGCCGCAAACAGAAGGCATGTTGTTGCGTACTCCACTGGCCAGACGCTCGACCGGCGTCTCTCCCTCTCACACTCCTCTCTCTCTCTCTCTCTGTCTCGCGGAAGAACCCCAGGGGCCGAGCTTAGCGCGTACCTGCTGATAAAACTGACTGTCAGACGCCGCGTGCCAATCGACGTGCCAGCGGTCAATTCACCTCCGCGAATGCGAAAACAAGCGCCGAATGTCATTTCCTCGCGGGACACCAGTCTCTCTTGCCGAGGCTAGGCTCGGGCTCGAACGTGCGACGAACGTCGCTCCTCGGAGAAGTCATCGCTCGCCGTACCTGGACAGGAGTCGCCGCGCGCGAGAATAAAGGCCGCGAGGATAGGCGAGGTTCCAGCGAGGACACACAACAGCATCCCCGGGGGGACGTGCGTCTCCCACTCTCTCTCTCTCACTCGCTGGCGGCGATAAATATACTCGCGTCCGGCGCTCTCCGGCCGAGCCCTCGATCGGGAGATCCTCCTGGGTCGATCAGGCGCGACGTAGCGAACGCACGCAGCGGAGGACGCCTCTCGTCAGTCTCGTCGCGCGCATCGTAGAGATCCGCGACGTACACACACCCCGTCCGGAGCACACGCAGACCCGGGAGCAGTTCCCGAGGTCGCCAAGGTGCGCGAGTACCCGAGCCCTCCGCGCTCCGCGAACAAGCGTTTCGCGCCGCTTCACAGATGGCGGCGAGATCGGAGCCGCTCCGCCGGTATAAAAATAGAATCAGTCAACCTTTGTCGCTCCTCGAGCGAAGTTGGTCTCTTGTCACACAATTATACAGAACATGTGCAACATTTGTCGCGACCATGAACAGAATCTCGTATGGACGAGCGATGTACAACGTAATTTTACATCCATGGCGTGGCTTATAGCGAATTCGGTTACTTGTCTAGTGCGCACTGAGCGCACACCAAGGCCGGTCCCACATAGCACAGCGACATCACAGTGATATCAGTGTGATATCTGTTTAAG